AAACAAATTGTGATAAAATACATATAACATAACATTTTCCATCTTAACCATTCCTAAGTGCACCGCTCAGGGGTGCTCAGCACACTCTCACGGCTGCGCGACCATCACACCATCCACCCTGGGCCGTCTTCATCTTCCCAAATGGAAACTCTGCCCCCACTCAGCGCTTGCTCCCTGCCCCCTCCCCCAGCCCCTGCCCCGCCGCCTGCTGTCTGTCTCTGTGAATCTGATGACTCTGGGGACCCCCTGCGAGTGGCATCGTGCAGGGTCTGTCCTTTGGTGACGGGCTTCTTTCACTGAGCAGCGCGTCCCCAAGCTTCATCCTTTCACACACAACATTTTTCCAGGACCAGCAAACTTTGCAAAGCACTCGTGTAATGTTTACACATTCTAGGAGTTGCGTGTGCAGCTGCAGCACACCGCGCGTTCTCTTGGGCGTCGGAGCGCTGTGTTTCAGTGTCTTGGAATCTCAGCTTAGAGCCCCGGTGGCCTGAAGGCTGAGTCTTTTCACATCAGGGTTCCGAGGGCGCCTTGAACAGGCCATGTTTCCTTTGCACGTGAAGTGTGTGGATCTCGTTAATTTTTGGATCTACATTGGGAAACATCCCAGGGTTGAAAGATGCCTCCCCGTGGGCTGGAGAAACTGTCACCATGGATGCACGGTGCTTCCCGAGGGCCCGGCCCGTCCCCTGCCTCCCCGGGGCGCCGGCCTGGGCTGAGCCGCAGGGGCCGTGGGGGCCGGTGCGTGGGAGGGAGGGAGGGTCCTGCACCCGAGCGCCCTCCGCCGAGGCCTCAGACCGCAGCCCCGGCCAGCCCGGCGCCTGCATTCCTCTGTGTTCCCGAGGCACCTGCAGCCGCACATACTGAGATGATGGCCGATAACATTCCGGACCTCCCTCGCGGCCGCAGCTCCTGAGGTGGGCCTGCTGCCAGGGCACAAGCAGGCCATTGTCCTCGGGGCAGGCACTGGCTCACCCCCGCAGCACCGCCTCCCACAGGCGGGCACGCGGCCTCCTAAGAAGTCGGGTGGGGCAGCACCGGGGCCGAGGCGGCCTCTGCTCCCCAAACCCGGGTCCCCCACCCTGGTCCCCACACCCTGTCCAGAGAGCAGGTCAGACGCCTTCTTCCCCTGGGCCTCAGTCTCCCGCTGCCGGGGGTCTGTGGCTGCCTGATTGGAGGCCTAGGACGCGAGCTGGGACGAGGGGATTGTGGCCGGCCCTGTGGCGGCAGGAGAGGTGGGAGCCTCAGGCACCCCAGGCACCCCAGGCTGTGAGCCCCACCGGGAGCAGGGGCCCGCTCACAGCACCTTCTGGGCTCCTGGGCCCACCCGGGACAGGCCGGGGGGCACGACAGCTCACATCACTGGGTGATTCTGAAAGTAGCACAGCATATTCAAATATTTCAAGAACTGTGTCGCTTTGGCACCTGGCAACGCGGAAGCAGAGCAGAAGGGAACGCTGTCCCCCGAGCTGCAGCAGGGCTAGTCCTCAGCCGGCCCCCGGGAGGGGCTGCTGGAGCGGGGCCCCTGCTCTGGCCCAGAGTCAGCCGGGCTTCTGTGTGCGCGGGGTGGGGAGTCTCCCTGCACCTCTGAGTGGGAGCGTGGGGTGAGGACACCCACTCTGATGGGCCCCCCACGCCAGCCTGTCCATGGCAGGGCCCCTCTGGCCAGACAGACCCTTCCCCCTTGGCGAGGCTCAGTCAAGAGTCTTCCACCTGCTCCCCGCTCCCCGGGTTCCAGGACAGCGTGGGGGAGAGGCCTCGGGCAGCGGCAGTGGGTGCAGCCGGGCTGGGGCGCTCCCAAGGCCTCCCCGGGGCCCCCGGGCTCCAGCCCGACGCTAGGTTCTAACAAGCTCCCAGTCAGCTCTCTGTCCTGCAGCTGAAGTCTTGCTAACAGCCATGTTCTGTGGTCAAGTGCCACCCTGGCAGCAGAATCATCCAGGGCTAGGCCTCGTGGAGGAGAGACGGCTGGCTCCGGGGCCCCAGGGCACAGCTGAGCTGCGTCGGGAGCGATGCAGCGCCCACCATGGTGCCCGGGGGACAGGGGGCCCCGCGGAGCATTCTTGTCACCTCCTGTGGTCAGGGGCCGGGGAGGGCGGAGAGCCTCAGACTCCGCGTGCAGGCGCTGGCGCGGGGTCCTGAGCCGGCCCTCTCCCCTCCTGGGCCTCATTTTCCTTGCACGCAGGTCACTTGTAAGTTTGGGGACCAGGGCGTGGGGCACTCGACTCAGAGGTGCGGCTGGTTTTATTAAAGCGGGGGCTGTCGGTCAGCTGCGTGGCGGGTCCCTGAGACGTCTGCGTCCTGACCTGTGAATGTGGGCTCTCATGTGGCGAAGGGGGCTTTGCAGGTGCGGCTAAGTGAAGGGTCTCAGTGCTGGGGGTTATCCTGGGCTTCCCAGTGGGTCCAAATGACCTTCAGAGGGAGGGGCAGGGGCAGAGGTTGAGGAGACGTGACTGCCGGGCCAGAGAGATGCGCTCTGCTCCTCCCCGGGGCCTGGCCCCGTCTCCGCGGTTTACCCTCGTCTGTGTGCGGGGATGGGGACCAGGGCCGTGCCTGGGAGTCGGCCCCAGGGTGGGGCTGCCACCCTGGCTTCGTGGGCTCCACCTCTGGCACCCCCTTGAATGGGAGCGGAAACAGAGGCAGGGCAGTCCGTGCAGACTCCAGCCCTGGGGCCCCACGCTCTGGTGACCCCCCCATTAAGGGGTGCAGGAGTCGGCACCCCTCCTTGGCTGGCTGGCAACTGTGCTTCAAGCCCAGGCGCCCTGCTCGGGGCCGCGAGCTCTGAGCCCCCATGTGCAGCGGACGTGCCAGCGGCTGTCAGGATGCCCGCTGCGCCGGGGGAGCATCACCACTACATCTAGGACCTTTCTGTCTCCCAAACGAGACCCCTCCAGCCCCCGGGGGCACCAGGCCGCTTCCCGCCCTGTGGGTTTCCGATGTGGATATTTGATAGAAAAGTGGTCTCCAGGGTCTGGCTTCTCAGCACAGTGTTCTAAGGCCCGTCCTGCTGGGTCAGAACGCACCCCTCCATGGCCGGGTGATGCCCCCCACCTGCCGCCCCCCTGCCAGTCTGTGCACCGTTCACGGCTGGGGGTCAGGTTGGGGCGCTTTGAGCCCTCAGAGCCGGGGAGGGCAGGGCCTGGCCCTGCAGACTCCGTGGGCCTGGGCTGTGTCTGCAGCGGGGAGGACGGGGCGGCCGCCCACGGGTGCTCACCGCCTTGTCCTCCTGTCCCGCAGTTTCCTCATCGTCCTGGTCTGCCTCATCTTCAGCGTGCTGTCCACCATCGAGCAGTACGCCGCCCTGGCCACGGGGACCCTCTTCTGGATGGTACGTAGCAGCGTGAGCGGCCGGGCAGCTGTCTCCCAGGCGTGTGGGCCGTGGGGTGACGTGAGCTGCTCCTGGCACCCCCACCCACGGTGACCCTGTGCTGGAGCCCCCTGCTGGCTGGCCGCTGCGGGCTCACCCTAAGATGGGGACCAGGAGTGTGGGGGCCCCATACCCTGGCTTCTTCACTTGCTAGAACGTGACTGTCAGGCTGGGAGGGCCAGAGAAAGAGGGGATCCTGGGCTTGGCAGCCTGAGAGGGCTTCCTGGAGGAGGGAGCTTCTGAGCAGGGCGGGGAAGGACGGATAGGAGGAAGTGGGCACGAGGAGATGGGGATGTGATCTCCAGTGGCCTGTGCGTGACTCTGGTTCTGAGTGGCTCCTGCCCTGGGTTATGGCCGGTACGTGGGTCCCTCAGGTGTCACAGTCACTGCCCCCGCCTCTGCCCTGAGTGCCCCGCCCCAGCCTCCTGATGCTTGCGAGCCTGGGCCCAAGTCCTCGTGGCAGGGCCCCGCGGCGGCCATGCCCATTTTATTCACGAGCAGGCGGCCGTACCTTTCCTTCATGCTTCTGGGTTTTGGTCCACAGGAGTCCCCCTGCCCGGGGTGCAGGGAAGTCCACCCACGATCTCTTGTAGCACGTGCCTGGGCTGACTGTGCGTCCTGAAGGGTTGCTGGCAGTTAGGAGTGTCCCGGCGTGCGGCTCGGAGCCACGCTTCCTCCAGCCTTCTGCTCTGCCGGCTACTGCAAAGTCTGCCTTTCCTCCCCGATCCGAGGAGCCGGTTGTACTGTACAGCAGCCATCCCGATGCCCCGCCTCCGCCCTGGGGTCCTCCCGCTCCGCCCACCGCTCCGGCCCTCGCTGCCTGGAGGGCGTCCGCGCTGAGACCTGCGTCACCCCGTGACGGGCTCTTCGCCCAGCTTTTCTGTCTCTGGGGGCCCGTTTTTGCTTGTTGGTTTTCCCCAGAGACCTCTGCAGCCAGCTTGTCGGCCTCCCAGAAAAAAACCTCATGGTATTTGATGCATGAACCTGGGAGACCGACCTCTCCCTGCTGTGGGGGCCTCCTGTCCGCAGTCACGGTGTGTCTGTCGGGAGCTTTGTGTTTCTGTAACGTAGGCTCTAGGCAGTTGCGGTTACTAACGTGACAGTAGCGATAGTTGCCCGGCGCCACCACAGTTGGGGTCTTCCCTTCCGTTACGGTTTCTGGAGGTTTCCTTCGGTGTGTAGGAAAGCCGAGCACCGCGGGCGCGCGCGGCCGTGACTCCGTCGGTTTTGTCACTGTTTGCGGGCGTTGTCCCC